TGAAGTGTAGCCTTTTCTTTCAATAGATAATACCCCCAAGGAAACAAAGGGTGTACCTTGGTTCACACCTCTACCAAATCAGATATTTAATCAGACCTTAATCCTGTATACTCCAAAATCAGATTATAGCCACAAGCACAGAGTTCACAGTTATAATACATCACAGAAGGTATTATGGGGAGTAGGGTCTTTGGAAACACATATGATCAGCGGTTGTCCAACATGTGGGATATAATTAATGTCGCTAGCTTGAACACATAAAAGCAGTGGGAATGTCAAATGTTTTATTGCATACATATTTTATAACAAGAGAACTAAAAATTCAATAAAATGTAATGTCAACCTCATGTTCATCAGTCAAGGGTAACTCATATTGTGGATTTCTGAGACTCTGTTTAGGAGAGTACAAAACCTAGTCTTTCTGCCCCAGATGAGTTTGTGGTTTCAAACTGAAGACCATGTGGATTGCAGCCAACATGGAACCACAATATGCAAACATAATGCTGATAAATTAAAATGTAATATATTGATAACCCTTGTATAATAAGTGTGTCTCTCTTTATTAAAAGCTCTAGTTTGTACATTTGATGAAACCAGCAGGAAAAATAAGACTACACATTATGGTTAAATTCATGCTCTTAATTCACAAAATTCAAAATTTCATCTTCATATCATGAAATATTTAACACTTGGCAATGTTCCAGGAAATCTGCATTAATCAATTCATTTTAATTGCACAAAACCCAGCAACATACATGTTCTTATCATTTCATTTAATAAAGAATAAAAGCAAAGAAAAGTAACAAATGTGCGGTCACTAATAAATGGTGAACCCCGGAAGAAAACCCACTTTTTTCTGGACCTTAATTGACAGCTAATACTTGCTGTACTGGAATTTCACCACAGTGATATTCCATTTCTCAAGACAGTATCCGCAGGAACTGATGAGTAATGGAAACAGTCGTTTGTTTCCAAAAAGCATAGAGCTTTCTTTATGGGTATTTGGACAACCAAATATTTATGGTAGAACTCACGTAAGGGAATAGATGTGCAGAGGAGATGTTTTCTCTAAGGACAGAATTCGTAGAATTGTAAATTGGCCTGAAATTGTGTGGTAGGGACACTTGGAGGTTATTTAACTGCCTTAGTTCTTTAGTTCTGATAACAAAGGAAGATTAAGTCTTTGAATACTTCTATGTGCAGCTCTGCCATTTACATATACAGATTCCTTGTGACATCTTGTGGAAACAGTAAAATGTATCATAATTTATTTTTTAATATTAGGTAAGATTTTAAAAAATCTGTTAACTTCCTAAAAGTCATTTGAATGTTGGATATAATGATGACTAAGACAATCTTCTGCTTAGGTGAGCATTTACCTTATTTAATATTTTAAAACAGATTTGTAACACAGCTAAAAGTAATATTACATAATAGCGTACTTGAATATGAGTCAGTATAAATATGTGATGCTTAATACCAGATTATATATTTACTATCAGTGTCTAATGTCATAAAAACTTCAGAAATGTTTCAAAGGTAAAAGAAGAAAAACTGAATTCAGTCAAATTTTGAATTATAAAAATATCATAAATGCATAGTTACAAATGTAATATGCATATTTGGATAGCTTTATTTTCACATTTACCTCTGTAGTCAAATTAGTGATTTTTATTAAAATGTGAAATGCAAATAATGACATTAGTAAAATAAAAATTTTATAATGATTTAACATACTTACTTTGAAATGAATTGTATTAGAGAAAATAGATCTTTCAACCACAGGAACATTTAAACATAAATAAACTTTTGATAGATTCATACACAAACACATTTTCACGTGACACTCGATGACTTATTAAAGCACTATTAGAAGAACATCACAATTAGAGATGGTTTAGGATATAGAGAGTCTTTGAATAATTAATTTACTATTTTATATTATTTTTATGTTACCTAGGATATATCTTAATTTCTTTCATTGTCATGTGACATTGATTTTCTATAACTGATTAGCATATATCTATATCTATAGTATACTCAGTGATGTGTTTATTCTTACAGAGAATGAAATTAATTTACTATCAGGAAACAAAGTGGTTTGTGGAATTAAAGTGCTTGGTGTTTTTCTTAAGGAGCACTGGCAGTGGAGAGGTTTAACACGAGGCTGCTAACAGAGAAAGTTGGCAGTTTGAATCTGTCAGCCAATGTCCAGTGGAATAGTCTGCTTCCAAAAATATTACAGCCTTGAAAATCATGGGTCGGTTCTACTTTGTCCTATAGCATCACTGTGCATTGGAATTGACTTCATGGCAATTGGTTTTATGGGTTGTTTTTTGTTTAGTTATTTTTCTTTGACTGTTTTTTTTTTTTATTTAACTATTCTTACTCTGTTACTCCTTCTTTTTTGAGGCTCCAAACATGCAGATTTCCCAAGACTGTTGGTTAAGATTCTGTTTAAGAACTTATGTCAAACAAATCCAAATTCTGAGTCAAGGTAATTTTTTTGTAGTTTACCTACTTCAAGGACATGTTTCAAAAGATTTTCAAAATCCTGGACTATCAATCATCAAAAATAAAACAAAATCTAAAACCCTGAAACAGTCATAATATATATATGAACAAAATATGATGTTGCTGATATATATTTCAGGACCCATTACTTGCCAGAGTGAAGAACCACCCTGAACTTAAGCATAAGTAACCAATGCATCGTATTTTGAACTATTTTCTGATGATAGATACGATGTGTTTCTCTACGATTTTGCTACAGAATCCACTTTAATGATATCAATGAATGTATATGTGTGCATCATTTTAGACAAGTGTAAAAATCATGTATGTACACCTTGTTTAACAACAACAACAAACCTTATTAAGGGTCAGAACTAATTTTAAGGAATTTCCCTACAGAGCATCATGATGGGTGATTAGAATTACAGCTCAAACTAAAACAACCCACTAAAGTCTGTGAAAATCAATGACTCTTAACTTTTCCAAGAACAGTATGTTATTCCTGGTATTGAGTAAAATGTATTTTTTCAAATTGCCCTGTTTTTCATGATCCAACTTTTGAGACCATACTTATAAGTATAATATATTTACATTAGTAACTTTAATTCTTCTATAATTGGTTCTTATTTCCACAATCAAGTTTCTTTCTGTGCCTTCCTTTCAGACAGGCCTATTGTCCCCCAGGCTGTGTGCTACACATTCTATGCTGGCCACAGGTGAAGAGGGTTTTCAAATCCTCCAAGTAGAATAGATCACTAACAACAGTGGGCAGTTCTTTAATGTTTTCCTGCTGTGGTTTTTCACATGATCTGAGTATGTGGAGCCAGGGTTCTCAACCGGATTCAATCAACTATTCCTTGGATTCTTTCTATATTCTCTACATGCTCTTAGTTCTGTAGTGATTAGTTTTTTGGGGAAAATACATAAAAATTTTATTACTCATTTCTATTTCAAAGTAAAAGATACTTCTCTTTTAAGTATCATATTAAATACCATGTGGAGGTAAAGGACATGGGATTGGGAAACGTTTACATCTGTTTATAGTATGTACTGGATTCCTGTACTTTCTATGTGAATAGAATCAGACTCCCCTTCTGATAGCATAATTAATTTTCTACACAAGGCTGGCCTCTGGAAAAAATCATGTCTTAAAATTAATGTCTGAGTGGGTTCAAATCGCCAAAACTTATGCTGTTTATCATTTAGCCAAATAGCTTATATAAAACACAAAACACATTTAATGTAATAGGTGATTATTTTTGACAGCTATTTAATTTATTCAGTCTCTATAGTTATCAATCAGGACAAACACACACAGAATGAAACTTGGGAGAGCCAGAATTAGATTGGACTTCTTTGTTTTATTGGGGTAACAAGGATTTTTTTTGGTCTTTGACAGTGTAGTGTTACCACTCTTTTGTAACTTTCTGCTATTGGGGGAAATTTGAGTTGTTCTTCTCTGACAGGTGTCTGCCTTACACAGTTTCCTGCTCTTATATTGTTGCAAGAAGCGCCCTCATATATATGTGTATGTGTTACTTAATGTCTACAATATATTCTGTGATTGGGCATATGATTTGGGCACTATACAATTACCATATTAAAACCTTTTTTAATAACATTTCTAATATATTACAGTTACGTCACAAGGAAAGGGCTGTGTATAAAAGTGGGGAAACCATATTAAAACTTGATGGGAGCACAATTCTAGTAATATAGAGGAACACTGCTGGCACTACTGCCGCTGTTTGCACTGCTACCAGAGGCAGACATAACTGCTGGCAGCTGCCCTGTGGCTAAGACATCCGTGGGAGCAGCCGAGCCAGAGGAGGCCAAACAGGAGAGACTGAAGTGCATGCAGTCCTGCCCATCTGAGCAGGCTGTGTCTTGAAATCCCCTCCACCACCACTTGTCTACTGGAAAAAGCTTGTTCTCTGCCTCACTTGCCCATGTCCCACCCATGGTCCAGTGCTGTAAAAGTCTACTTTGGGGTCTTTAAAGTCAATAAGGAGAAATAATAAACAGAAGGAAAAGCAATTTATTTTAAAAAATAAAGTGAAACCATTCGGGATCACAGATGTATATTCACGTGAATTTTCCCAGTTGGATAAGTGGCAATATGTCTGTGTTTGTGTGTTTGCAGTGAAACCTGTGAGATGTATGAAATATAGGGATATTTATAATTTTAATTGAATTCCAATTATTAAAATTGAAATTTCAAGAAAGTTAAGTAGATTTACTTATACTGGATGTATTACACTTTGAGAGTTTTTAAAATAAACTGTGACATAAAAATGAAGGTGAACTCAATTGTGCGATAAAGCCATAGAACTGAAGATAGTTGAAAACATCTATAGTATTGCAAGACAAAGGAAGAACAAGAAGACATCACATTATAAAATGAGAGTGAGTCAATTTAGATAAATGGTGAGGTGTAATTGTTTTTTTCTGATTTGTGTCCAGGGTAATACACTGGGAAGGAGAGAATGGAGAGATGGATTAATCAGACCACTGGAACTGACTTTATTCTCCTGGGGCTATTCCACCACACCCAAGCACCCACACTTGTCTTTGCTCTCATCTTCCTGGTGTTCATCATGGCTCTTGTTGGCAATGTGGTGATGATGATTCTCATTTGGTTGGACTCTCGACTTCATACGCCTATGTACTTTCTTCTGAGCCAACTTTCCTTCATGGACCTCATGTATAGCTCCACCTTTGTCCCCAAAATAGCCATTGACTTTCTGTCTGGAAGGAACACCATTTCTTTCATTGATTGTGGAATTCAGTTGTTCCTCTTCATGACTCTGGTGGGAGCAGAATGTCTTCTCCTGGCTGTCATGGCTTATGACCGCTATGTGGCTATATGCCACCCACTCCATTATGCAATTCTTATGCGCCCTGCAATTTGTGGCTCCCTGGTGGTTGGGACCTGGCTGGGTGCACTTCTTAATGCCTTGATACATGTCATGTATGCGCTAAACCTTCCATACTGTGCCTCCAGGGAAATCCATCATTTCTTTTGTGAAATCCCAGCTCTTCTGAAACTTGTTTGTGCTGACACCTCTCTATATGAGCATGGTCTTTTTGTCAGTGGTGTCGTGTTCCTTCTCATTCCAATATCAGCCATCATGGTCTCCTATGGACAGATTCTCTCAACTGTTTTGGGAATAGGATCCAAGTTGGGGATGAAAAAGGCTTTGGCTACCTGTTCTTCCCATATGATTGTGGTGTCTCTCTTCTATGGAACAGCCATCATGAAGTATTTTTTGCCCAAAGCCTATCATACTGCTGAGCAAGATGAAGTAGTTTCTGTCTTCTACACTATTCTCACACCCATGCTGAATCCACTAATCTACAGTCTTCGAAACAAAGATGTGACTGGGGCCCTGAAGAAAGTTCTGGGAAGGTGAAAAGCCACAATGAACTGCTGCCTTATGAGACTGAAAAAACCAAAAGCTTATCTTTATAGCACAAACAATTGCAAGAAAACTGATAGTACTGTAGACATGGCAAAATCACTTCATCTTAACTGTTTGCAAATTTCTAATGCATAAATTTGTAATAGCACTCTGTCCTATTGAATTTAATCTGAGAATCACCAATTTATTAAACAGAATGCTCTAAATCAAAAGACACTTAATCTGCAGAAGTTACAAATCAACATGAATGACAAGTGTCTTCTTGTTTTTACACAAAATTAAAAATGCATGTCCTTGTAATACTAAATCCACTGAATTTGACATTAATTTGAATAGCAGTATTATAAGAACACATGAAATAAACATTTGCAATAAATATCCAGTAGTAAATAATTAGCAATACATGATTAAGTAATAAATAAAGCTTAAGTGTCCCAATTTTAAGGTCTATATCAATTAGAATCTTTTCAATGGCAATGGATTTATATTAAGATTTTAATTTATTATACTCGTTGGGTCCAGCAACAAAAATATTTCTTCCTGATCTCACACATTTATATTGGAAGTTATATTATGCCTTTTAACTAATGACTGGTAACACAAATATTGTTATTTAAAAACTAATATTTATATAACTAAATATGGTAGTTTGGGCCTAATGAACTAAAGTAAGGTTGTAAATATTTTCTTTTTGTGATCAGTGAAGTCCTTAATAAAACTGTGCATCAATGTGTGTGTGTGTGTGTGTTTATATATATATGCAAATACACTGGGAAAAAGTAAAACTATTTTAGTACTAGGGTCCAATGCATGGTTTTATTCTAAACAAAACATGTTTAACATGCCTCTGTATTCATTAGATGACTGCCCACAAGTTCCCTAAATAATATACCTTCCTTAATCGGTGTTATCTTACCCCCAAAAAGGTCTAATTAAACTAGTAATTTGAGAAGTGAACTGCTGGGTCAGTTAAATGCAATACAAAAAATTCAACTCAACAGGTTATGGTGACTATTTTTCTGGATTCTAAAAATGTAATCTTCATGGATTTTCCCCTAGGTTATAAGACAATCTTTAGGGCTATTTATGAAGAAGTTTGGAGAAAATTGAGTATTGTATTGGTAATAAAGGGCAGGAAAATTGGAATAAGATTTTTTTCCCCCTTAATGACTGTTCACCTCTTGATTCTTCAAGGGTAGCAAAGGTTGTTCTATCAGAATTTTGTAGTGAAATCTTGCTCCATTCACCCAACTCTGATTAGTCCTTCGAGATTGTCAAAGCTGTTGTTTTGATGTGGTGTAAATATAAAAGGATGGAATTCTTTGGTGAAAGGTCAGGGAGTTGGAAACACTACCTTCAAAATTACAGAATGTATGAAAGATATACCAAGAAAGAGAAGTTTAAAAAAGATTTTCAATAAGTTTCTTTGATTTTATAGCAATAATTTTTTATTTATCCTTATGCCAGCCACTCTGTGTGTGCTTAGATATATACACACATATTCAAGGGTTTCAAAAAGTTCATGGAAAAATGCAGATAAAAATAATGGAATTTTCCCATAAACTTCTTGAAGGCTATATATATACGTGTATATATGTATGTGTGTACATACATATATACATGTGTGTACATGTGTGTACATACATATATACATGTATATATATTTGATGTGGAATCAATTATCACTTGCGATAACTACATGTGAAAGATTAGTGTGCACACCCATCAAGTCACCATGGAGAAAGACCTAGTGATATGCTTGAATAAGATTCATACCAAGAAACTTTACAGAACAGTTCTACCCAATAATACATATTTTGGTCAGCATATTTTGGAATATAAGTAGTATACAAAGCTTTATTATATCTATGTATACTACATATATTTAAAATGTATATAACAATACAATAATGGTATACTCCCATTTTATGATGTTTTGTGATTTAAAGTAGTTATACAAGGTCATGTCAACTTGAAGATATAAAAGTATGGTAGTCATTCATCTTTGGTTAGCCAAAGGTCACATAGGTCCATACTGTTTAGTTAATTGTTTTCTGGAAAGAATATGGGAAGTTAAAATTTGATTCTTTTCTTTGATTGTTGTTTTTGGTTATTCCTGTCTGAAATGTTGAAAATTAATGTGATTAAAATAAATTTTGAGCTCAAGGGAAAAAAATGACTTCTTGAACTTCTCCTCTGAGACCATGCTGCTTAGCCAAAATGGCTGACAGAAGGGCTGGCCCTGGCTTGATGTAGCCAGAGGCCTAAGGCCATGTTACATATGAATGGGTTAGTTTAGATAAGGATTGAATTTGACTGTTTTAAAAATGTGTTTAAGATATAGCTGTACTAGGATTCTATTGATCTTTTTTACCTACTGTTCTTGCTATAATGTGTGATAGAAATGATTATTGGCAAGTATGAGAACAGAGATTTTGTAATCCCACTGCCTCTGACCATAAAACTGTATCTTTAAATGGGTATAGGAACTGCCTTCAAAGAAGACTATGAAAAGATAAATCACACCTAGTGCCTTGAGTACTTTGGCCATTTGCATTCTAAAAGACTTGCTATTGACAGATTGAAGAAATAAAAAGGAGCACTTTGACTTTTTGAATTTTGAACTAGTGGTTTGTGCCTGAAGCTGGAAAAAAAAAATTGGAGTCATAAAGAAACTCTCATGGCTAGAAATGAAAGTTAGAGAGAGTCTGTGGACAGCCTGAAAAACCTGCTAAATTATCACCTGGATCCACTTATTCACTGGAAGTGGGAGATAAGCAGCAATAGAGAGACAGGTTGGGTCTGGCCACTGACACCCATGGACCTGGTTTATAGGAACTAGAGGAGAAGAAGAGAGCGGGTTGACTGGTCTGAAGTTCATGATCTAGCATAAGGCGCCTTGGCTTGTTAAGAATTTGTGAAGGCACCCGTGGTCTAAAAGCAAGGCAAACAATGGACAACCTGGTGAGGCTAAGTGTGGTGGCCTACATTGGGTTGACCAGATCCCAACCAGATGAAGAGAAGATTTTTCAGCCTGTGAACTGGTATATGTTGCTGATGACTTTATGGATGACCTGTCCTGATTTGACTTTGCTTATGGATGTGGATTTCACAAATTTTCACCTAGAATGAAGATTCTTCACATCAAAAAACATACCTGTCTCCTCAGAACACTGGGTTTGCAGCTCTTGCTGATGAAGACCAGGGACTATAACCTTCTATATAGTCTTTAACATGTAAACTTGCAACAGCATAAATCTGGGCAATTAATACTAGAAAGGAAGAAATGATGTCTTTGAATTATGATGCTGGCAAATAAATCTTAAATATACCATGGAATGCAAGAAGAAAAACCTGCGTTGAAAAAATACAAACTGAAGGTTCCTTAAAATGAAAGACATTGAGATTTTGTTTCACTTAATTTGGACATGGTATTAAGAGGGGCCAGTCCAAGAGAAGAAATGATGCTGAGTAAGGTAAAGGATCAGCAGAAAGAAAAAAAAAGATACTCAATGAGATGAACTGACATACTGCCTACAAGAACGGACCCAAACATAGCAACTACTTGTGAGGCTGGTACAGGAGTGGGCCATGCGTCATTCCCTTAGGGGCACTATGAGCTGGAACTAGTTTAAGGCATGTAACAGCATGTAACAGTAAAAAAAACAAAAACTGACTGTAAATGCTTTTTTTATGTTTGTGTGTTGTTAATGTTATTGAGCGGTAATTTTATCATAATGGTTATACCATTTCATAACACTTGTCTTTATAGTTTTTCATGTATTCCATTTCTTTAATACTAAAATGAAAACAATATTTTCTTTTTAATAGTAATACCACTGTAATTTACTATATATTTGAATTTGTGCAACTTTCAAATCACAATTTTGTTAAAAGAAATCTTTTTCTTTCTACATTATTTGTTCTATAATTTTTTCGTTTTCACTAGTCTTTTCTGGTTCAGCTCAAATTGTAATTTCGCTTCATCTTGATACATAGTACAAGATTTTTGCATCTAACTACATATTTATTTAGACATACAGTATATATATTTAATGACCTAAATTATCTCTCATGTTGTACAGATTAATTAGTCTCATATTAAATTTTCAAACACAATCTAACTCACATCAATAAAAATATTTGAGGTGTTTTTGAAATATCCACTGTCCCATTTCTATAGATTCAACAAAATTTTCTAGCATGTGGTATTGTTACCCCTGCTTCTATTTTCAGTAAGCATATGCTATGATTCATTAACTGCATAAGATTGGTCTTAAGGGAATTTTTTAAAGCAATGATTCAATAAGCAACTCTGATAGCCGGAAATGTTTAATTAATTTACAGCTAAAATAAACTGGAATGTGTTCAAAATCATGAATATAGACTATTTTTTATTTTCTTATACTTCTATTTACATTGATTTGCTTTTCTATTATCATATTCACCAAAGAAGAATTTTTTCAAATAACATCATCATGCAATTAACAATAACTAAATATTACATCATTTATTATGGCCTAAATGGCACTGATTCTTTTTTTCAACCACAGACAAACTTTTAACCTACTCTTTAAAATATTTGAACTGTCTAATCTACACCAATGAAACATATGTTTAGGAACACTGGAGAAATAGTGGTCGTGCATTGGGCTGATGGCAATGCATTTAACTTATTATTATTTTTCAATGTGGTCCCAGTTCTTTGTTTCAACCACAGACAAGTTTGTACCTGCTCTGTAGAATAGTTAGCATACCTGGTGGCATAGTGACTGCACATGGGGCTGCTAACTGCAAGGTCAGCTCCTCTGCAGGCGAACGACTGGGCTGTGGCCAATCCACAGAAGCAGTCCTACCCTGTCCTATAGGTCACTTTGAGTAGTGGAGCTGTCTACTTCACACCAATAAGAGGGATTAACTATTTATTATTAAATATATAACTTCTGGTTCCTGTTTTAACTGCATCAATTTATTCAGAAACAGTCCTTCAT